CCACTTCAGACGCGAACTAGTGATTGTGTGACAACAACACCGTAAAGACTCATCATGTTAATCGCTCAGATTTTTTAACGAAAACTTGGCTTTCTAGACAAGATCTTTAGTAAAAAGCAATTCTTTTTATTTGTAACAAAGTTTATAAGGATCTCAAGGCGAATAAAGTAAAGTAAACATCGCATGAACAAAATTGGCTGTAGACGCCAATGAGTTGTGTGAGTCATTGATGATGTTTACTTCCCTTTATTCGCCTTGAGATCCTTATAAACTTTGTTGCAAATAAAAAGAAATGCTTTTTACTAAAGATCTCGTCTAGAAAGCCAAGTTTTCGTTAAAAAATTTGAGCGATTGACATGATGAGTCTTTACGGTGTTGTTGTCGCACAATAACTCGTTTCGCGTCTTACGCTGTTATAGTCATTGGTGATGTTCACCAATGTTCACCAATGTTTAAGCTTCTGTTAGGTGTTCAACAGTGTTTTTTTACTAAATATCGTTTAATTTTCTGTATGTTTAACTTCTAATAAGTTGTATTGGATTGACGACCAACTCGCTGACATCTCTACTCGATTTTATACGTCGGCGAGTTGGCATCGGCGAGTTGGTCCGTTGGCGAGTTGACCGTAATTCCCTCCAGCAATCATCCAAACAAGCAGCTAGAATACCATATTTCTGTATAACTTAACATTTCATGGTCCTTTCTTTGCTCTTTGTTAGGTACAGAACCAGATTTGTTCTCACCAGGAGTAAGTTTCTGATGCCTTCAATTCAAGTCTGTTAAGCCTTACTCATTGTAATTAAGTATTGGTAATAACATGACTTTGAGTGCAATTTGGTGTAAAAAAGCATGAGCAAATTTCTCTAAGGCGACAAAATTTGTAGTCTTTGAAAAATTTACAAGTGCTTATTACAACAAATTGCAAGAGAAATCATGTTATAACTTGTCAATAATGTACATGAAAAACCATTGCAGAAACTCAAGCTAAATTTTGAAAGCTTGCATGCGCTATTTGTAATTTGCTCTCGTGTTACAACTTTGCTCTCGTGTTACATGAGAATGCTTGTTTTCAGCCAATCAGAATGGTGTAACCTTTTCATGTGCATTATTACAGCTGATTAACTCTTCTAATGAATACAAAACCTCTACTTTACCAAAACATGGTACAATATGTACTCATGGAAACTACTTGATGTTCTACATACGCACTTTATGTATGCATACATCAAGTTGAGGATAAAATTCCTTGCAAAAATCTAGATAATTGGAAAAAATTGCTGTAACATAGCATGCCTGCAAATTTGACTAGATCCTGTGTAAATGAATAGACTCTTCAGAGCCTAAGTGCACAACATGACAGGAAACTGAACTCAGCAGCTGTGGAGAAATCAGTCAGCACTAAATACATGCAATTACCTAACAGAGTACTGGCGAAATAAGTCTTATTTTAAACATGACAAGAGAACAGAGCAATATTTACATTTGTTATGAGGAATTCAAACATTTGCGAATATAACAAAGTTCAGACTATGGTTTCTTCAGTAGGCTGTGTGGTGATAACTTGGTATTTTGGTACTTACTACTTAAGCTATGCCTTCTATATGAGAGAATGAACAGAGTGGTATGTTTTTTTAGATGGACCCCCCACAAGCCAAAAGAAGAAGACTGGACACAGATTACACATATGCTTTAGGTCTGTAGCCAGATGTCTCTGTCATGCTCTTTGATTTTGTCCTGCATGGGGTCTTTCACTCTTGCTGCTTTGAACATAACCACATCCACAAGGAATCCTGTAAACCAGGCTATCTTATGATCCCAGTTTGATAGCATATTTTGGCTGTACTAGGTCTGATGGTAGCATGGTCTGTGACTTGAAAAAGCATATACCAGTATGCCATGACTTAGAAAGCTGCAGCTGTGAATAACCACAACCTTTTCACAATTTATTTATTTATGTTTGTTTGTGTCTTTGACAGATGATCTGGACGAGTTGGAAGTGTATGGTAAAGAGGAACAATCTGGGGTGAAGCTCACATCATACTCATTTGAAGTGAGTTTGTTACATTTGACATACATACTTGTCAACTCTGTGGAAGTGAATGATTTACACTGAGAGAAGTATTGCCAGCTCAAATACATGTAGTTTGAATCTGCCAGGTAAGCCAGGTTAAGGAAAAAATATATTGCACCTACCTTAATTAAGATGCCATTGTCTCATTGACAGGTATGCGACAGTTTGCTCAACATTGGACCTTGCACTAGTGTTGATATGGGAGAACCTGCATTTCTTTCGGTGAGCTTTTGGGATCAGAGTTTTGTCTCTGAAGTAGTTTTCATAGTAGGATTTATATTTTGTTTGCTATCCTCCTTGCAACATTAGAGAGATGAGAGACACAAATAAAGCAATATAAATAAGTTTCAAAAAGTGTGTGGAAAGGGGAAGAAATTATTGCATCGTTAATGCTTGTAAAATGTGCAAGAGTCTTATCTTTATGCTCTCAATAGCAAATTAACCTCCAGAAGTTGGTGCAGGATATGAAGTTTGAAAACTAAATTCAGTCAATTCCAATCACTTAACAGAAAACATACGTTTATATCTTATTTTTAGTCACGCTTATTTTCAAAGAACTAACAATTTCATTTTGCTTTTGAATTGACATGTTCTTCATTGTCGTCAACAGGAAGAGGTTTGTAATTTTCATTATCTCTATCTATGTGTATTCTACAAATTAGCATGCATGTAATTGTTGTTTATGGTGATATCTGTTTTGCTCTAATTTATATTAAGAAGTAAAAATGCAATCCTTATGGTTTAACAACTATTTCCCTGTTTCTAAAACAATGGTTATTTTATTACCACATAGAGAGTATGCAGGTGTTTTATGTGTACTGCTTAACCTCATGCAGCTATTTTGTTACTACTCTGCAGTTTTCTGGTGGTAAGGAGCTGGATTTGGAACTTGTTTCATGTTCTGGGTATGGAAAAAATGGTGCATTATCAGTTCTACAGGTGTTGTAAATGTCTTTTTGTTTTATTATTAGTTTTATGTATGAGATTCAGCAAGTCTGCATTTCCTTCTTAAAATAAAACTTTGTGGGGTTAAGACTTAGAAGACCTGTAATGGAAGATAAACTTCTGACAATTGACTGTTGAAATAAAATTTAGGTTCTTGTTTTCTGAGACAAAAGCAATATTAACCAACTAGTCCCCAAGTGTTCATACATATCTCTGCTGGAAGCTTAGGAAATTTAGCAGTACATGAAAAACTTTACTTGCTTAGAGTCATTAAAGAAAAATATCAATTAATGTATTTCTAATGTCTACTGAAGAAGATGCAGTAGAACAAAATCATTTGAAGGCATTGAACAACAAAAATGAGTAAAAGATGTGATTGAATAAGAAGTCTCAACTTGATATTTGAATTTTGAATAAGAATGAATTTAACATGGTGATATGATGAAGAATCGTTAATTTGAATATGAAATTTGAATGTGAATTGGTTCATTACTCTTACTGTAGTGTTAAATGTAATTGATCTAAATGTTAATCCATATAGATATGAGTCTCATTCAAATTATTTCCTATTTTTAGCGAAGTGTGAGACCTCAAGTTGTGACAACATTTGAGCTTCCTGGCTGTGTTGACATGTGGACAGTTTTGTCTGGTGAACAGGTCTGTTAAAAACAGGAGAATAAATTTCATTACAGACAAGTACAAGATTTACTACATTGTGGAATGTTGGTGTACAATTGAAATATAAGTTCCCTCTATTCAATGTTCACACTGTTTTTGCCAATAGTTTGGCAGTCAAGTGTATTTACTGAACTGCTCAATCCCTTACCAACAAGTTTTCTTTGACTCTACAACTTGCAATGCTTGCTTTTGTTAATGGTTTCTTTCAAAAAACTTGTAAGGATGTGTCTTGGCTATTGTAATTAATGAAAGGCAATCTTCTTAATCTCTGGGAAACATAAGGCATCCAGACATCTTGAGGAGGAAAGGGGAAGAGAATTAGGTCGTAAGAAATTACATTGTGGGTGGCTGGCATTGCAAGTTGGAGCTCTCAACCTGTTACTAGTTTATTTTTATGACATTAGTGATGATTTACAAATGATTATATTTAAGTGATTAATTAATCTTAATAACAAGGTTTTTACAGATTCTTGAAAAACCTGGAAAGTCCTGGAATTTTATTTTGACATTTTCCAGGACTGGAAAGTCCTTGTAAAAGACTACAGGTCCTAGAAAATCCTGGAAATCTGCTTAACTCAAGCAATAAAGTTTTTAGAATTTATGTAGAGTATCAGGAGAATCAATTGTGAATTCTTGGGTATGAGAGAGTTTAAGGTAAAATTTGCAACCCCTAGAAAAATCAATATGAGTCCAGGAAAGTCCTGGAAAAGTCCTTGAAATTTGTTTCTGAAAAAGGGTATGAAATCTGTAGTAAATATAATTTTGCCTTGAAACATTTCTTGGGTGACTTCACCCTGAAGAGTTGGCCGCTATTATTGGCAAGAGGAAGGGTATAGTTGGCTTGGAACATTCCTTAACATAGTTGCTTCTTTGCTTTATACAATTGCCTAGGGTGACAACAGCTATCATTCATTCTTACTGCTCAGCAGAGAGGATTCTAGCATGGTAGGTATTTAGTGAGAATCTTGTGGAATATTGTTCATCAATATACACCACACAGGTGAATACTGCTTTTCACACATGCTGACTGGCTGGTTCAGATATGTTTTGCGAGAACCATTCACCCTCAAGCAGTAGAAGAGACAAAATTGCACCAAATTGCAATAAGAAACATTGTGATATTAAATTAATTTAACTAGTACCATAAATGACCCACATCAGCTCCTTCTCTCACTTTTAAGCTGTAGTGCCTGTATCAGGTATTTAGGACTACTGTAATGGTTGGTGCATGTAATTTTTTATTTGATCAGGCATTTGAATACCATTTTTACTCCAATGAAGGTGTTAAAGACAGAACAAGAGATTATGGAACTTGATCACTCAGGCTTTACTTCCCAGTATCCCACTGTATTTGCTGGAAATCTTGGGAATGGAAAGTACATCTTGCAGGTTGTTATTGTTACCTTGAGGTGTTTGGTCACAAGTAGCTGAAAGTAGACAGACAGAATAAGAGTTTATGTTCACACTTTGTATAATTGGATGTAATTTACAATTTGACAAAAAGAAGTATCAAAGAAAAAAGGTGCTAGTTTTACGGATATGTTTTTCATACATAAAGTTCTATTTTTCACTAGTTATATTTTATTACCAGTAAGTAAGTTAAGGTTTATATATAATTTTAGAGATTTTATGAGGCGATAACTTTTACAATTTTTTATTTTGTTTCTTTTTAAAAAAAAGTACCTTCAATTTCTATGATGATGATAATGATGTCAAATTTAGACGCTAGAGAAATTAATTCTTTGCAAGCTTTTGAGTCTCAAATGTAAATATTAATAATTATCTTTCTATTTATTAGGTAACTCCTCAAGGTGTTAGCTTGTTAGAAGGAGGTGAGGATGACCTCTACTTTATCAAGTTGTTTGATTTTTGACTATGTTGTCTGTTTCTAAAACCAAAATCATGTTCTTTGTTCTTAGGAGTAATTATGCTTATGAATGTGTTAAAGTTTTGTTTGGTTGTATTTTATTTAGTAACACAGTTGTATCACATTTCACTGGATGCTGGCTTGTCATCAATTGTCTGGTGTTCACTGTCTGATCCTTATGCAGTCATGATGACAGCAGATGGTTCCATTATTTTACTTGAGTTTACATTGGAAGGTACAGAACCTAAGGTGAAGATATCCAGGCCACAGATAAACCAAGTAAGCATTCAGAACAAGAAGGCCAACATTTCCTTCACCTAATTAAATCCTGTGTTGGTAGGGTTAAATTCAAATAAGTACCTAAGCTGTTTATTTGAATTGCTTTTAATTAGGGATGCTTCAGTTATGCACTGTCTGTGGTGATAACATCAGTTCTATAAGTTATAGTTAAATCAGCTGTTAGTGAAAGTGACTCCATTTGACTATGACTTACACTACTCAGAAACAACCTTTATATGCAAACATCTGTTTTTAGGGAGGGAAAGTCTGCGCCTGCTGTGCATATAGAGATGTCAGTGGTATCTTTTCCACAGAGAAGGTGGACCAGTCACTCAGAAAAGTTCAACGTCAAACCAGTACTCCCACCACTCCCAAAAGGTAGATCAAAGTTGGTAGAGCAAAATAATTTTAAAAAAATAAGGTTACTTTTTAGTATCATGCTATACATATAATTTTACTTTTAGGTTATCATCTCATACCTATTAATGGTCTACATGGTTTATGACTGTATTGGTGTTTTTTCATCCAAAATTGTATTAGATCATTGTAGTTATATAATTATTACTACTGACAGTAAGCTTTTATAGAATAACAACTCTTCTGTGCTCTCGCAATGAGCATATTTTGACATATTTTATGGAAAAGCATATCATTTTGGTAACAGAAATGTCCCATTCTTCTATTTCTTTTTATCAAAATTATTTTCATATATTTTTCTTAGCATTTACCACCAGCTAGCTTTTTGAATGGTTATAACTTGATGCACTGCCCAAAGTTTCAGTCATTTTGATTGCCATGGCATTTAGAAAAAGATTCAGGGGTTAATACTCCATTGAAAGTTGCCAGTAGTGAACAGTGTTTGGCTGTCATGTAACAAGTTGAACATTGTGTATTGGTTACTCTGCATGTATTTGTTGTCAAATGTTAAATTGAGATAAATGTTTACATTAAATATTGGGAAGTGGTAGACAAATCATCCTCTATGTTTTTTTCCTTTTTTAGTAGCTTAAATTGTATTCATGGCAACCAATGCATGATTTAAGTTAGTCAAAATTGACTCTTTTAAAAAGTGGTGGATTGAGCCCTTTGATTGCTTGTGTTTGGCAGAATCTGTTGGAAATGATTTTGGCAGGTCGCTCGAAGTATAACATGCTTTTTTCAGCCTTTTTGCAGCTCTTAAGCTCTTCTCATGGAATGCTTTTCAATTCAAAGATTATTCCTTGCCTTGATTATAGTACCATGAGAGATATCCAAATTTATGGCTGTGATGCAGGGTCATCAAATCCCTTTTGTCTCCTTTGATAAAGAGGATAAATCCAGATATTGTTTGTTTTCTATTTATTTACAAAGTTTTTTTTTAAGTTAGTTACTCCTGATGTTAGTTTGCATCCTTCTGGGGGAAAGAAAAGATAACTCTTTACAATGATTGATTCTTAAGAGACTGCAATTGTTTCTTTTTTTTCAAATTGTCATGTACTATGTTTTTTGTGCAAATTACTCATTCTGTTTTCCTTGTGAGGAAGTCTAAGCTTACAAACTTTTTTTTTTTTTATGTTTCCAAGCCATTTATTTGTTTGATAATAAATTAATCTCTAGATGTAAGATGCAATAAAACATGTGAAATGTTCTCTTACATTGTTGCTCATTAAATCTTCAGTATGGATGTGTTAGATGAGGATGAACTGTTGTATGGAGAATCATCTTTGCCATTTACGTCTGATGAAGAAGCGCAAGAACAGAAGAACGTAAATGACAGGTCAGTTGCTGGCTTTGGTGTTTAAACACTTGTTTTCCATTTATTTCACCACAAGAAGGCTGGGTATTCCTTTTACTGACAAAAATATCAGAACTTTTTGCGTTCAAAACCATTTTTAACTAGTGGATTTATTATTTTTCTTGCAAGCTGCCATTAATGCCTAAAATTTGTGTGTAAGGAATTTTTTGTTGTTGGTAATACTATGTGTTTGAAATGTAGTTTTAAGATATTTAATTATGGTGAAAATGAACTAATACTTGATTGGCATTATGTTATCTTGATCTTTTTAAAAGGGATATAAGCTTAGTTAAAGCAGAAGGCTTTTTTTAAATTTTTTTTTAATTTTACATCTTAGTACTAGTCACGTTGTAAACCTCGCTCTTATGTAAGACCTTTTCCGCACTGCCAAACATTTTTCTAGCATTTTTTGTACCACATTGCCATAACTATGCTGGTTCTAATTGAATTCACAACATTTCTTTGAAACTGATCCTTACTAACCTCCCTTATCTCATTTTATGGACAATTTAGAATCTTATAGACTATAGTCAAAGGTACTCACTCAAATGGTGTCAATGATGTCACTCCTTTGAAAATATAAGCTACAGGAGAAAAAATCTCCACCCATTTAATACTTGTTGTTATTCACTTATTTGTTCTGCATGTCAGTGTTTCTAGTCTATTGGTTTATGTGGAAAAGAATGTTCTTTACTTAAATTCTTGTATGTCTTTGTAGTGTTTTCACTGGGGAATCAAATGCTGAAACAGTGAATCCAACATGGTGGTGTGTTATTTGTCGTGACAATGGTGTCTTGGAGATTTACACTTTACCTGATTTCAAGTTGGTTTTCTTGGTTAAGAATTTCAATATGGCTCCAAGAGTGCTTGTGGACAGTGGGTCTGCTTCTGGTGTAAGGTAATGAACTGTTTGCGCCTGTGGGTCATCTGCATTATTGAGATTTAAATAAACAAGGAGTTGTGTTTATTTGTTTTATCTTTAAAAGCTGTTTGTTGCAGCCTCTTAGTCCCAACACTTTCTGCAGTCTCATATTGTTCAGTTTTAGAGCTTCATGTACCGTCAGGGATAATCACATTGAATCAAAGGGAAAACTATCAGAACTCACCAGTTTGTTCTAAAATTTAACTGTGCTGATGTGAAATATCCTGAAAGTATAGAAGAATTGAGGTGATTGCAATGTTATCAAAACTTGTGCAGGTGATGTTTTTTGAAGTTTACATGAGTTTAACAAAAACTCTCATTTGGAAACTGTCTTGGTTGTTTGCTTGCAGTTTAATAGACTTTTCTCAATTATTTTGAAGAGCCAAAGTATAGTTTAAGAAGAATGATCGCATTTTGTGGATACAATATTACCTTTCAAAGTGCTATCGTTTTGTCTGGCTTTTACTGAATCAAATCATTTCTTAAGAAAATATCGTCCTATCTGCTTTGATTCATTTGCTATAACTGATCAACAAGTCCAGAAAAAAAGTTAATTAACATTATAACAATCATGTTTCAGAGAATTGAAAAACAATAATTATTAGTAGGGTCAGAAATTCCAGTATCTTGCTGTAAGGTGTTCTGCCTCAATGCACCTCTCCAGCCTAGAGGACCCTTTTAGCTTTAGGTTTAATATTGATTATGACCTCATGGGTCAAAGAGTGGAAAATTGCACGGTTTGGTTTCACTGAGGAACTGAATATTGGCCTGTGGTTGTTTCTAGCACACCATTTCATTCCATCAGGATTTTACATTCCCATGAAGGGTACCAGGAAGTTATCATTGTTTTGAAGACTTTGTCATCTCTAATTTCCAATCTTTTTTATTTATTTTTGAAAGTATCACAGGCAGTGTCGGTCAGGAGGATTCTTCACCTGTCAGGGAAATCTTACTAGCAGGCTTAGGGCACAAAAACAGCAGACCTATGCTTATTGCACTTGTGGAACAGGAACTTTTGGTGTATGAAGCATTCACTTTCACTGAAGCTTCTGTAGAAAGTCACCTTAACTTAAGGTTCAAGAAGGTTGGTTTCAGTTTCTTGTGTCATAGAATATCTGTGATACAACAGGAGGAGAAGGGCTCTTTTGCTAGATTTTTATAGCAGTGTATCTGACTAATAAAGAAGTTAAAACTTTCTCAAATAGCACCAGAGATATTTTCTACCAAGATTTGTAATTGAAGGGGACAGTATTTGTTTTACATTTATTGCAACATATTTTTTGGTATTGAACTTAAAAAACTATTAAGATTCCCCTGAGAGCCTTCAGTTAATGCTTTTAATGTGTGGATAAATTATTATTCAAATGATATCTTAATTCAGTGAAGTATTTTGAAGATACTGTACTCGGTTCATGATGCAGCTTATGATAAAATTGATTGAATGTATATGTACTTATTTTCTCTAAAATGCAAAAGCAGCATGTATATGTATTTTGAACCTCACTCCATTTATGAGTAGGATGGTATATCTATTCTTAGTGACACGTGTGAGAAAGTTTTGGTAGGAATTAAACATTGACTGAAGATGAATTTCTTAAAACATAGCTTTAAAATCATATCTCTTTTTTATCAGGTCCAACACAATCTGCTTCTGCGTGACAAGAAATCAAAGCAGCAAAAAGTAAAGCAGGTGGATGGTATTCAAGGTAAATGTTTAATAATAAACCCTAATTACGGAGCATTTTGGGCACTTAGTGGATTAAATTTTGCCTTCATGTTCTTTGTTGCAGGGACGAAACCAAAAGTGTCCAGTCTCCGTGTCTTCAGTGATGTCTCATCTTATTCAGGGGTAAGTAACTTCGTCATCAAGCTTACACTTGATCATTCATTGGTAAAGGTGAGTAGATTACACCCCTGAACATGCCTTGATGCTCAATAACATGGTATTGATGTTATTTGAGTGAAATAAGTTATATAAGCGACATTCAGTGGGTTAGGAAACGTCATTTAATAATTATGGATGTATGTTGTGTTTTCAGGTGTTTTTGTGTGGTTCCTATCCCTACTGGCTGTTTGTTACTAGTAGAGGTGCACTGCGAACTCATCCGATGAACATTGATGGCGCTGTCACTTGCTTTGCCCCTTTCCATAATGTCAACTGTCCAAAAGGTTTTCTTTACTTTAACAAGAAGGTACACACAAGGCTTGTCACGCAACACACTTTGTACCCTTGTCCTGTTGCTTGGTAGGAAAGTAGACATGTTGCGTAACGAGCTAAACGACTTTTGCTAAGAAAACTAAACTAATCTATTTACATGTGTATACAGTCTTAACAGATTATAGTTCTACATGTTCATCAGGAAATGTGATGTTGTAGATTTGAGCAAGGAAAGAAGTTTGTACCAATACTACGGTCAAGTTGATGATACTTCCCTTTGAGAACAATCAGGTCTCTCTGGGTCAAATAGCCAACAAGATCCTTAGGGGAAAATAAGGGAAATGAATTTAGGGGGCAACTTTCTAAAGAAACTGTGGTGCTATGTCGGTGGAAGAGTACAACAGGGTTATTTTTGTATTATCAACTTAGTTGATGGCGTAAATTACAGAGTTTGAAAGCTGACGTTTCGAAACATCAGCTTTCAAACTCTTTGCAGTGGCCAATTTACGCCATTAACTCAGTTAATAATACCAAATTACCCTGTAAAACAAGGCAGTCACTTTTCAGAACCGTTGTGGTAAAGTGTTGTGCTAAACAGCGACCTGTTAAGTTTGCTTTTTTGAATTTGTGTTTCATTGTTTCCTTTACAGGGGGAGTTAAGAATTTCAGTTCTCCCAACCCATCTTAGTTACGATGCCCCGTGGCCTGTAAGGAAGGTTCCTCTGAGATGCACTCCTCATTTTGTGACTTACAACAGAGAAAGCAAGGTACTGCGGGTCACATTTCAAAGATATACCACTAGTGTCAGTTTGTTAGTTGTAGCGAGCTTGTTTCTTCAATTGTCAGAGTAGCTGAAAACCTCTGAAAGACAATTACTACAAGCTTGAGAAGTTCAGAAGTGCAAACAACGATTCCACCGATTAAATTGACATACCTGTCATAAGCCAAAAAATATAGGAGGACCACAACACGATGCCGCAAAATTAGCCAATTTTTGAGGAATTTTGAAGTATATGTAACCAAAGGTTCTTAATTTCCGTTTTCCTCTTGATTAGCGTTGCGGAAAGTGAACGGGGGAAGGGGTGGGTAGGGAGGCTTAGCGAAAAATAAAATTCTTTCTGGTATTTTGATTATGTCATTGCTGTTGTGTCAGACATATGCAGTTGTCACAAGCTTGTCAGAACAAACTAAGAGAGTGGTCAAATTGAACACTGAGGATCATGAAGCTGAAGATATCGATAGAGGTAAGCGAGAATTGCATCCCTCGGCAGGCCTTCAAATTTTCATTATTTCATTCGAGGTTCCCTCAATCGCATTTGAGAATGTTCCACTGTGATAATATGGTTGTACTATCAGTCCATGAATATCGAGTTAAAAATTAAATAATAGAACCTGTCTAACTACAAAACTAAGTTGTCCAATTTCATTGTAGATTCAAGATTTGTATATCCAATTATTGACCGATTCAGCCTACAGCTTATCTCACCAGTTAGTTGGGAGATTATACCAGGCACACGGTTAGTAAGAAATGAAGATCTGTTTCCATTCTCGGTTTTTTTCTGTTTTTTGTTTCTTGTTTTTTCTTGCATAATTATTGACTTAGTAAAATATTTCCAATTTCATATGAACTTAATCAGCAGGCCTCAAACCTAGTGTCTTCATTTACTTCATGACAAAAATTTTCACATCAACATTCGAACTGACCATATGGTGCACGGTTGGTACAATGGTCTGACCAGTTTGGAAAAAAAAACGAAAAGTAATCCAAAGAAAAATCGAGAATTCAACGTGTTGAAAAATTCATTTCGATTGTACATAAAAGCAGCCTACAACCAATGGATCTAATGACATTTTGATACATGGGGTGAAAACATTTCTCTTTTTTTTTTTGCATAGTCATCCACTTTCTTATTCAACGATTGACCTTGTTTCAGAATTGAGATGGAGGACTGGGAACATGTCACCACCTGCAAGAATCTTATGCTTGCAAGTCAGGAGACTCATGCAGGTCACAAGGGTTTTATTTGTGTTGGCACAACTCATGTGTACGGTGAAGATATTACCTGCAGGGGACGGGTAGGTTTCTCTGATGGGTTGACTTATTGCAAAAACAAAAACAAAAAAACGCATTGTCATATAACCGGCATCCAAGCAATTTTTATAGAATTTCCACTCAATAATTCTTTCAAATCTCTTGATAATATCAGAATTCTTCTAAGAATTGTTCAGTGACTTTCAAAATTATCTTTGCTCTCTAATGAACTAATTTTCTGAGGTTGAGCTTAACTTCTTCTTGACACAAATTAAACATTTTGTGGCGAGAATTTTCTTCTCATTTATCCACTCAACTTCCTTAACGCTTTTACGATGTGTTTTTTAAAATCTCCTTGACAAGATATATGCGTATTACCTTAGAATGAAAATTTCCGATTGACTTTTTGGTCGAAGGAGGTGATTATGATGTCACGACTTGAACAAGGATCGACCTTCTTCACATTTGGTGTTACTGTTTTAAAAACAATTTTTTCCCAAACAGATTTTGATATTTGATATCATTGAAGTTGTCCCCGAACCGGGCCAGCCACTGACCAAGAATAAGTTTAAGGTAACAGCGAGGATTTTGTTATGTCGATGTACACTGCTTAGCATTACAATTGATAGATTACAGGCAAGCATGCTGATTCTCCTTGCAGTGGAAGTTCAAGATAGCTTATGAATTAAATCATAGAATAATGTTTGAGAAAAACTCAATCCTTTTCCTTGTTATGTCAAAAGTATTCGTTCATGTAAACTGAGTGTGACCTGCTTAAACCATGAATGAGTGGGTGGAGAAGATGCGTGTGAGGCCCAATTTTAACCATCACAATTTCTTCTATTGTGATTGGTGGATGGATGTATTGCTTTATTTTTCACAAATTGTTTGGTAGAGTTGTAATCAGACACCTTAAAGCGAACAAATGCATCAGCCAATCACACTGAGTATCCTCAAATGAATCTACCAATTACAGATTGAAACACTTTTGACAATATCCAATAGCTGTTTCTAGACCTTTTCATTGCACTTTTTATAGCAGATTGTTACAGTTTAACGGTTAAAATATTGAATTACAAGTCTTTCTATCGACATATAAATTTGTTTTATTGGAAATTGTAATGGTTTTTATTAATTGGCAACAGGTCATTGTCGTCCAAATGGGTCAGTAGTCATCCTCGTGATTAACAAATCAAACTCGCGCTCCTGAGAATGTTAACTTTTCTCCGGGAAAAGTCAGGGAATTTCAAAATTCTATGGACCATGTCAATGAACTGCGCATAAACTTAAAAGTAGAATTGCAATTCATCGAGCCACGTCTTTGCCATTCGCGGATCACTGACACATGCAACAAGAAATGTTACTACAGAAGCCGTACTCATTGTGATCTCCTCTGAATTTTTCTTTTTGATTGTTTTCAGATGTTGTACGGAAAGGAACAGAAAGGTCCAGTCAGTGCTCTGACTCAAGTCAATGGTTACCTTGTAAGCGCCATAGGACAGAAGGTATGTTGGCCTTCATCTGTCTCATTCATTAAAAAAACATGGCATGTCATATTCATTTGTAATTTCATAGCTCGGAACAAAATGGGAGAAATCTCAAAATCTCTACATGTTCTGTAGCGTCTCTGTAAGTTACAGCACATAGGACTCCGTAAAGATGTCATGCTAAAATTTCTGTTTGTTTGGTCAAAATAAACAGATTTACATCTGGAATTTCAAAGATAGCAATGATTTGGTGGGAATGGCATTTATTGACACGCAAATGTACATTCATTCGTTAATGTCCATCAAGACTCTGATTATTGCAGCTGATTTATGCAAGAGCATCACTCTCCTTCGATTACAGGTAAAGTCAAAGTTTCATTTCACTAGGTATAAAATAAATGAAGGTCACCCTTAATTCTTCTTACGTGTTAGTTCTCATAGAAACCCTACGATAGAATTCCTATGTGTGCAGTTGAATGTTATTTTTGTTTGTTCGATATCTAGGAGGAAACAAAGACTCTGGCATTCGTTAGCAAGGTCAGTAACCTATTTTCAAAGTTATTCAATGGCCTCGTTCTTTTTTCGCGTTTTCATAGACCTCAAAATCGTCTCGCTTCATAAAAAAGGAAGAAAAGAACTCCGCCAATATCCAGTCATCTTGACCTCAGGCTCGGTCAACGCATTTATTGCCGTCTCACTTTTGCAGCCTGCGACTTGCTTAAAATTTACCTCACGACACTGAAATGGGTTCCTCACGCACGCCTCAATATTTATTACATTCGCATGACGTGATTTCTTTGCAATAATAGAAAAAAAATGGGGAATTTGGGACGATTTTTTTCACTAAAATATCACGACGAATTTTCATACTTAACAACAAAGCATAAATTTAAGGAAGTTTCAGAGGATTCCAAAAACTCCCGAAACCAAGAAATAACATTGCTATCAACAAATTACAATTTTGAATACCTTACATTCTGCCGCAGAGCGTTCTCCTCCCACTAGTTGACCTTTTAAAGTTTATTTCCTTGTTTTTCATTTCCTTTCCTTTATTTACTCGAGTTCACGAAGTATTTACTTTTTTGTTCAGGATCCAAAACCATTAGAAGTGTATTCAGCCGATTTTGTTATTGATGGTCCACAACTGGGATTTCTTGGTAATGTATCTTCTTCTTTCCCTTTCTCTCTCTTTTTTTAATTTTTTTTCGCTTGTACACTTTGAAGATTGTTAGTAAGGATATGAGTCAAATTAAACTCATCAGAGGACAATTGTTTAATCACTTGCACTTTGCAATATTTCCATTACAAGTCTCGTTCATCAAAGACTTCCATTTCAATTTGTGGCCAAGGGGGCTGATCGAAAAATACCTCGTCTTATTTTAGGGTGCATCATGGAAGGTAATGATTTGAGCTAAAGGAATTGAAAGCCAACCTGAATTAATCGACGAAAGCTTTTTTTTTTTTGGCGAATTTTGACTACTTCAACCTCTAGCTGTGTATAATTTGATGAAATATTGTTTTAAATTAATACTTGTGATCGTTAACGGAGTGTTATTTAAATTCAACGTGGTTTCATTGTACTCAGTTTTATTCAAAGATACGATGGCCTTTTCCATTTGAGTCAGTCGTGTCGTCTAAAATATGTTACAGGAAGCCATTTGAATTCAGTTGACTGCCAATGACTGTTGTGTTGTTTCTCATTTTTGTGCCTTTGTCAGACTAACGATCGTAATTTCTTATACAGTATCAGATGGTGATCAAAACTTGCTTTTACTCACTTATCAACCAGAAGGTAAGATAATGACGCAGCCAATCTCTATTGAAGTTTTATGCTTCCGGTTAAACTTCTTTGAAATATCACGGGCTGTGTTCTTTTATTTTTAGCTGTTGAAAGCTTCGGTGGTCAGCGACTTCTTCAGCGAGCGGATATTAACATAGGAAGCCATATTACTTCATTCTTCAGGATCCGTGCAAGAACAACAGGAAAAGTTGGCGGTAAAGACTTGAGACAGCTGACTTGTTTTGGTAAGTTTACATTCTTATTTTATTGGGCTAATGTGTTGGTTCAAAGCAAGTTTTAGAGTTGATTGGATCTCAAGATCAACGACCAAGAACACTGAATTCTGGAAGAAATTTTGTCGTTTTTCTTGAAAAGATGCTCGCGCAGAAATGTCTGTTCACATGGTAAATTGCCGTGGTATTACCATATTCACCATCAGAAACGCTTTTACAAGTATTTATTTGATAAATTATAATTCAGTGATGATGATTGACGATTGCTGTTGTTCAGGCACACTGGATGGTGGGCTTGGACTGTTATTACCTATGACTGAGAAAACATACAGACGACTACACATGCTGCAAACCAAACTTGTCGAATGCATTCCGCACGTCGCTGGTCTTAATCCAAAGGCTTTCAGGTCGGTTGATATTTTAATCTTATTGTTTTCGGTTATATACCTTGGTATTCAACAAGTTTAAGGGTTGCGATTGTGCACTTGAATGCGCTGTTCGCTGTTCGCTGAAGTCAGTTCCAGAACAGTTTGTAATTCTTGAATATTCAGCAGTCATGACTGGTGAAAGGCTTTCCTGAAGAAATAGGATTCAGTTTTATTTATAAATCATGTTTTTCAATTTATTATTAATACACGATGCCGTGGAAAATATCATCGCCTGCTTTTGACAATGGTGCAGTTCAGAGGTTCAGTCCTTGCGTGTTTAATAAGTCGTTTCATTGTTCTTGTTTAGACTTGTACGAGGTAAGAAACGAAGCTTGAACAATCCTCACAGAAACATATTGGATGGAGAGTTACTCAGCAAATTTCTGCAGCTTGGCACTATGGAAAAACTTGAGGTTGCAAAGAAAATCGGCACGACGCCAGCTCAGGTATATTAAGCATCTTCTATAAAATCGTTCAGTTGAGAGTAACAGATAACACACGCAGATAAACGAGGTTTAATGACACGAGGTGTGATTGCAAACAAACAAAAAATCATTTCAGTAAAAAAGTCTTCACTAAAAGTCAAGTCTTTACGACGTTAACAAATTAAAGGTTGGTTTGTTCAGTGTGGCCGCTTTGTGATTCCGCTCACCGTATTTTCCCTGCGTTTTGCTGTCTAATACTGCCGCGTAGTTTGCGCGTTCTGTTGCCCCAATGTGGTCAAATGGTGAAATAGTGTAATGATACCATGCAGATATTCTAAATTTGTTACTGAGGCATGTGTAGAAATAACTTCAACGAAAATGTGCGCGGACATTATCATCCTAGCAGAATAGCTCAAGTGTCGTTCGAAGCTAGCTTTTATACTTCAAAGTGAAGCTGGCTTGAACTCGCTGACAATTTTAGTGGGAACGGAGATTATGAATCGGCTTATATATTCACCCACCTCAATACTTTTCTCAGTGAAATTTTATCGTTGTACTCTTGATGGGTTACTTTTGAAATTAGTACGGGATAATTATCAGTACCTACGAGATAAATGGTCACTTGACACGTCTATTCACTGAAATCGCACATGAGCAAATGATATGATGGTTTGTAACACCGCAACGTTTGCTCTTTTCGCTTAGTATATACATCACTTCAGATTAAGTAAAAACAGAACACTACCTACTTTTGTAACTTCCAGATTCTTGACGACTTGATGGATGTTGAAAGATCGTGTTCACATTTCTGAGGGCAACGCCTGAGAGGTGCTTAAATACAAGTGAAAGATCATGATCGCATCAAGGATGTAACTTTTCCTTTACGGACAATTGTACCGGGATGACAATTAGTTACTATACTTTCTTTTTTCGTTAAAATCTCCAAGAAGTTAGAGAACTTTACTAATCAGAGGTTACAAAATTTATGAAACATTGTCATCTAGATTCCCAATCTCTTACACTTCTCCTACGCGTCCTCAGCGAGATAAATGTCGAAATACATATAATTTTTTGTGAGTTGTCGGACCCGCCACCTAAATAGAATGGTTTACTACTTTTGTTGCTGATGCGAATCATAATTTAAGAAACCACCCAGTGTCTCTCGGCTTGATTATGAGTTATTTGTTTCAAGTGGTCCTGTTAGTAGCACCTTCTGGAAAGTTGTTGATATTGTTTCTCTCCTGTTTTTATTGTGTACAAAGAATTCAAATTCTGTGGTCTACACTTGTATTTTGTTTAATCGAGATTGACCGCGTAAAAAATATTCCCGTCAACTACGTAATTGTCATTAGCTTGATCGTGACGTTGAATGACTCGCTAGTAGCGAGCTAAACAACAATGGTCATGCCTCATTGTTATGAAATCGCTCTAAAAATCTAGTAGGACTACGAATAGAACCCGACACATGTTTTGGGGAAGAAATCGCTTACTAAATAGAAAGCACGAGCAAGAGTATCATCGATGTACTGTTTTGTTTACAAATGAACTCACATGGCCGATGAGTCCGATGACATAAATTAACAAAACAGTCTCCGAAGAAGGAAAGGATACTGCCCTTAATTTGACTCCAAATTTGTGAACACCAGAGCTTTGTTCCATGATTTTCTTTGGTTGATGCAGGTTATTAACGGTCGGTGGGTGTAATCTGTGGAATTTTCTTCCTAAAACCGGAGCGCGATAATCGATCATATTTTTGCGTTGTGAGCGCAACGCAGAAGTCAAACTCTTGGGCTTAGTCTGTCGTTCCTACTTTTCGAGCGCCTCATTCCAAAAGCTCCAGACGGCGCGCTAATATCAATTTTCTTTTCCACGCTAAATTTTTGTACTCGCGCGACGTAATTCGACGTCAAGGAGGGCGTGCCCTTAGTCTAAATCTGTAGTCTATATGCGTAATAACAACGGGAATAATGATAATCACAAATCTCCAACTCGACAAAGGATGTGACAGCGTAGTTCTTGTCACTGACACCCACCACGATCGTGATGAGATGAGAACTTTAATCGAAACAGAGCCGTATTTTTACGACACAGTCGAGAATTACTTGGTTTGCCTTAGTTTTCCTTCCTTTGCTTTGGGAATAGTTTGGAAAACTTACATTACCCTCGTAAATAATCAGACGCAAAACCTCAACCAATCATGACTTGAATCAGCCAAGGGTTATCATTTCCTTCCCAAAGAATTACCACCCTAATGAAATGTCCACCCCTAGCAACTCAGAATTTAGCAGTCTTCAACCTTCAAAATAAGCTACATTGGTGTAATGAGTTTCTCTTCATGGCCTCAGCAGCAACTTGAATAGAAAAGAACAAAAGGAAGGGGTGAACATAAGCACGGGAGGGAGGGGTGGGAAGAAACGAGGTCCCGTATTTTGCCACATATGCAGATATCTGTATCCGTCTCAATTTCGTATGTAGATAAATAGACAATGGAATGCAAAAAGAATCCAATGTCTTTTTAAGTTGAAAGTTTCCAAAAAACCAATCAAGTTATATCATATACCAAAGTCGTATTAGCTGTTTGTTCAAGTTTGAAAACTGATCAGCATTCGAAGGAAAACATAAAAATACCAAAACTATCACGGAGGCCAAAGGTAATTTCGTGAAAAAAGGCAAAAAAACCATCACACATGCGTCGATAAACATTTCATTTAACTTAAATGAGATACTCAGACCAAGACATAATTAATTAGATATGCAATTTTCAGATTTTTCAATTTTCATGTCAACAATTATTAACCTCCAATTGATAGTGTGGTTGGCCTGTAGTATCCACATTATCTTATTATTTACAAAGAAAAAAACTGCAGCGAAAATTGTTGATCTTACTCGAAAATCGTTTTTTTTGGACGTCGAAACAACCTTTCGCCATATATTTCCTTCAAACAACTTTCAATGTTGGCCCCATGGCAATCCCACAAATCTTTGCGCAATAACAAGCTAGGATCCGATTAACGATCCGTAATGATTTGCTTTAGCGTACAGGGCTATTCGATACAGGGCGCTTGCAGTACTTATTCGATTAAACGCCGCGGCGTTTACTAAATTTTTCGTGATTCGAGTGCGGCGTTTATTCGAGGACGGCGTTCATACGAGGGCGGTGTTTATTTAAAATCCAATTTATTTCTTCCAAGCAATAGTATGGTAACTGACCATTTTAATTAAAAAAAAAGAAAAGAACTATGTTTTAGTGCTTGTCTGAAAAATCTGCGGCATTTATTCGAGGGCGGCGTTTATTAATATTTCTGCTCTAAAGTGCGGCGTTTCTTCGAGGGCGGCGTTAAATCGAAAAAATACGGTATTTCTTTCTTTGAAAAACAGCAGAATGTGATCAAAGCTATGAGTTTTATTTGACTGAGGATCAAAAAGACTGGTGAATGGACTTTTTATTCCTGGATCCTTCTGTTATGAAGTATTTAGTCTATGATTAGTTAGTCATTTAGTTGTCAGTTCAAGATGATTTAATCTTTCGTTTATAATTAGAATGTACCTGTAAAAGCCCATTTCCAGCCTTGATGCAACGCAGCCGTTTGTTTTTGTTTTGAACCACCGCTTTTGTATGATTTCGAATTCTGAAGTTATTTAGGTTTTAGCTGTTGTGATGGGTTTTCAAGTTGTGACAGCCTTGTCTAACTTCCTTAAGTGGACGTGTTTAATTTATCTACTGACCTTGCTTTGGACCCACATGAAAGTTTTTGTTTTGGCTAACGCAGTCAGAGGTTGATTCAGTTGGTCGGAAGCATTATGATTAAGTGCTTTGTTGTTCATTTAGAAAGTTTCGTGAAATTGTTTGGTTTAGTTTCCTAACAACGTTGTTTATCCATCTAGATCGCAAAAGACTGAAGCAAACTTCCCTCCAATCGTATACTTTTAGTTATCACACTTATAAAGAATCGAACGTTGTTTACCTAAATTTCATGATGTCAATAGCACTCTTCGCTGAAGCTCAGTTATCCTCCCGCCAAGTGTCAGTCTGGTGCCAAATCTATCAGTTAATTACATGCCCTCTTGACCCCTTGAGCAACGGCAACTGATGACGTCCAGCCGAAGGGACTTGGCGCCGCATGCTCTTCATATGCTACGGCATTTTTTGGAAACGCGAAGTGAAGAGCTACAACTAAATAAGAAGGCAAAAATTATTTTATATAGTTTGATTCCCTATTGCTACCAATCTAGCAGGTAAAAGTTAATGTAACACAGTTTTACGGACTCATTTCAGAGCGGGAATTTGACGATTAAAAGTTTAGTTTGACGCGGAAATTCTTGCCTCATCATTATGTTATCCAAAGTATTTCTTTCATCACCTCTCCCACTGGCGTCGAAAAAAGAAGTATTTGACCTGCATCACACCCTGGTGTTTTAAATACAAATCACTTTTGAAGTAAATAACACTCCACTTTACACGACTGTCACAATCAACGAGCGGTAAAGAAAACCTCCTGGATGGACGCTGTCCTTGTCGCCGTCAATCTGATTGAAATCGTCTACATTTCTTTTCGGGCATGCAGAGAGAGGGATTTCATGCAAAACTCAAAGTTTCAAACATCTCATTTAAATCCTCCCGAAGCACCTCAGCGGCAAGAAAGAATACAACTTGTAATAAACATCCCACATGAAATTCAGAAGCAAGAAAGGACACAACACGAAACAAACATCCCACAAGAACTTCCCCAGGTAGAGGATAGTAAAGACCATGAAAGGAACATCCCATATCTACCACGCGGGCCTGAACAACTCCTAAAAGCACCGCTTCAGGAATTCATCCAGAATACAAAGAAAATGATTATAGACGACACTTAACCTCCACAACTCCGGTCGCTTTTTCCGAGTCCTCCTGGCAAAGGGCACCCACCTAAACATTTGACTCTTGATCAGATTTACACAAACCTTGTTGTTGCACCTGACATGGCTGATTATGACTTTACGGAAGACAGACGGAAGAATTTGCAAATCTACACCAAGTCGGGTGAGAAAAACGAAACACCGAGAGGGCCAGAGGACATTCTTGATCACGAATACAAAAACGTTTTGATTGTTGGTCGTCCCGGAATTGGAAAGACACTTTGCTGTACAAAAATTATCAGAGACTGGGCATCTAACAGAGTATTTAATAAAACATCCGATAACAAAATCCTCTTCGATGCTGCTTTCTTCGTCAAATTCAGAACATTCAACGCTGCAACCGACCTTAGTCTTAGGGAGCTACTAACCCGCCCCACATTCTCACCCAGAAATGAGCTGGATGAAGAAGTCTGTAATTACATCCTACAAAACCCCCAGAAAGTTCTCCTTATTTTCGATGGAATTGATGACTTTAAATTTAACTAAAAAATCAGCACTGGAGATAATGAACCTCAATTCAGAAACAGCGTAGACGAGAAGATGCCCCTCTCCGCGCTTTATGCCAAACTTACGACTGGAAAACTTCTTAACGGAGCAGCCGTTATGACTACCACAAGACCTACAGCTCTGAAATGCATCGAAAGTATTCGTTTTGACAAAATATTCGAGATCCTAGGCTTCTCATCCGAACAAGTCGAAGAATACGTAACCAAATTTGCTGAAGAAGACAAAGAAGCAGGCGAAATAGTAAGGCGACACATTACCAGAAACATCAATATCTTAACTCTATGCTACATTCCAGCGAGTTGCTTCATCATCTACTCAAGTCTCTTTAAAATGGTAAAGTTCTATGCTCCTCAAAGTCCTCACCTACCAACAAGATTAACAGACATATACAAGAAAGCCGTGAAAATTTTCTACTTGAGACACAACGAAGAATTACGCAATAAACATTTCACTCGCGAAGACTTTGAATCAGATGATTTGCCCCCTGAAGAAGAAAAGAAATTCGAGAAACTGGAAAAAATGGCATTTGAAGGAATTAAAGAAGGAAGGCTAATCTTTGGAGGAAACGAAGTGCGCGGAATGGAAGACAGCGCTCTATTTCACCGCTTACCCGACCGTGAACTTGACCCTTTTCACAGGGAAGA